AATAATTTGCATCCAATTTCGCTTTATAGGGTTTTTTTTAGCAGCTTTTCTTGTAACTTTAAATTACTTTCGGGGAAATTTCCCCGTCTGTAGTCTTTAGAGAAGAATCAAAATACGAACAGAGACAAAATAATTCTCTAGTTCCTCTTAAATTTGGGGCCTTGTGTGTCATTTTTATCTGTATTCTGTAATTTCTTTATCAGAGTTTTGTTGTTGCTTATTAATTGTTCTACTCGGACCCATTAGATATTTCAGGCTAAAAAATAAATGAAGAATTTCTAAATGGCATAAGTTTTTTTTTTTTTTAAATTCTTTTCTTGAGATTTGTTTGATTTGTATGCCAAAGTTTACAAACTTCAAAAAAAGATGTTTTGAAGATAGTATTGGAGCCACACAATTGTTAATGATTTTTTCCCTGGAATTTTTCGACTTTGACCGATCGTGGTGCTCTCGACGTTGGATTCCATTCCAAATTTTCATAGAATCAAAGTCGAATTGTATTGGCAGCTTTTGCTTCCCCTTTTTTTTGTTAATCTTTATCATCCCTCGAGGACATGCACAACAATATAGAAAAAATTAGCACAAACTTAGATATCAGATTTAGTGTGTTTATTGGTGTATTTACGTTAAATTTAGATATTATCCTTTTGGAGATTTCCGTGCTGCAGATATAATTGTATTGTATGTTGTGGTGGGACATGTGTGTGCTATATTTTTAATTGTCCATTAGAGAATGGTTAAATTTTGAAACCTTAAATTGTTAGTAAAATCTTCCAGTTTAGATGAATCGTGCAAATAATGTAACAATAACAAAACTAAGATAATGTACATAAAACAGCTCTAATTTTGAGATTAGTTGGTTTGACCGTGGTCCGGACTCGGGACATGTTCGGATCATTAAAGTTCAAGATTCTTGTCTCCTCCTATATTGATTTCTTCATTTTGTATACAGTGTAAATATCTAAAGAACTAGTAATTGTAAAATTTAAGGAAACTTATTTTCTTATACAAATAGAATAACTAGTAGATTAATTATAGCAAATGACCTTTATACTAGTAGAGTAAATTGTAGCAAATGACCTTATTTGTAAAACTGACGCAGTGACATGTTTGTAAATACAAGTTGTGTATTTAAAACTAACATGTACTGCAATAATATGACAACACATACAAAAAATAAATTCAGATGGTCCCTAATCTTTCAATGTAATTAACCAATATTTCTACGAACACCAGTGAAAGCTACTAGATTTTCTTTTAAACAAACAAGAATCCAGCATTTGATTAAACATTGCTTAATTTACGAATTGTGATTGTAGAAAGAAAACACTATTTCCCGCTAAACAAGCAGCTAAAAGCTAGTACAAT